TTGTACTATCACCCAAATACGGACATGCATGTTTCTTGATTCTGCTGCGATTTGCACAAATGTGGTAGAACAAAGTTGAATGCGGTGTATTTGTAAATATATATATATAGTGGTTAACAATTATGTTTGCCTGAATTATCTTTCCTGATTGTTGGAATTGAGGATGCAATTTTTCTGTGACAAATGGAACAGGAAAGTGGAACTGAAAAGCCTGTTGTTGCTTTTATTGCTGGACTCACTGCTCCCCCTGGCCGTCGAATGGGTCATGCTGGAGGTATAACATTGACCTTACTTATTCTGCTTGGTTTTAGTTTCAGATTTGTTAGCAGTTAAAAATAATAATTTGCTCTTAACATGGTTGGGGCATCAAATTCTTGATTCCTCGGCCCTCTGGTATTACAGGATGAAATAGTTCTAGATTCTACAATTGGTTGTAAGTATAGTTTTAGTTTTTTGGTTAATGTTATAGGAAAGAATGAATTGAAGCACCTGCTTACATTATAGATTCGTACACAGTGCAATTACTGAACCTTGATGGTCTGCATCTCATTGGTGTATGAGTTAAGAGTTAGTTATTCAGTGGATGTTTGTGTATACAGGCTAAATTTTGACTCACATTTCTTTATCTGCACGTTCCATTGCTTGAAACAGCTTGTTTGCTAGTGAACTTGGTGGGGTTAGTTTTTTCTAAATTATGGGAACCCTAGAAGTTTGTCATTTAAGAAATAACCGTTCTTCTCTCTCATCTATTCTCTCTTCTCTCCTCTTTCCCCTGGGGGCTGCCAAACTTCCATGACCAAAGAGAACGACTGAAAAAAGGTTGTAAGATCATCCATTGACTAACTATTCTAACATCCAGAAGGACTCATCTATTATTTCATGTCGCTACTTAAGTGGGTATTTCAGAAAAGAGAATTCGCATGATATCTTATTGGCATATATATATATATATATATATTAATAATAACCAACCATTCTCTTCTGCTCCATGTTTGTTATGCTTTCTGTTTAATATATAGTCTACTTGTCTTTGGTCTGACCTTTCTACTTTTTGTCTGAGGAAGCTATTGTATCTGGGGGTAAAGGCACAGCACAAGACAAAATCAGGACTCTACGAGAAGCGGGAGTGACAGTTGTTGAATCACCTGCAAAGATTGGTTCAGCCATGTTTGATGTCTTCAAACAGAGAGGTCTTCTTGTGAATTAATTTGATGATTATGGATATGCGTGATACCATTTTCCTTGCATATGGAGAATTCTTTTATACTACTAAACAGAGAGAAATTCGATGTATGGTGGGCGGTTGAATCTTGTATGACCCAGATAAGTTTAATTTTTCCCCTCGGCGAGCATAAAACAGGGGTACTCCATATCATTTTCAATTCTCAACATGCAAATTAAATCCCTAACATTTCAAGTTCAGATTAAGAATACAATTATTGAATAATGGGCGGTTTACATGTTCCTTGTTCTTTATGAATTCCTTTTTGGTCTCTATTGGCAGTTTGACAATTTAATTTGATTAGTTGGTCAATTGCTGGACATGATGTCAAGCTTTTTTGTGGGTTTGCAAGGGAGCACTTCGAGTTGCTGGCGATAAAGCAGAGAGGAATTCGAGAAGGTTGGGAGTGAAACAGTATTGTTTGAAATGAGGTGGGCTTGGCCGAAGTTTGCACATTCGGGATAGAATTGAAAGGCTGAAATGATATTCTGGGCTTGGAGAGCTTAAAGCTGCTTTCTAGTTTAGCTTTAAATTGATTGGGTTAAGAAGAAAGGTGTAATGCGAACGAACATATCCTCCTCGTGCCCCTCTAGTATTCATCTCTAGACTTGTTAAATAAAATTCATGACTTGTATAGTTCTAAAATAAGGCAGAAATAAAAATAATAATTAGTAGAATTGAAAATTTTAACAAATTATTATAGGGTCACAAATACCATTTATTAAATTTGTCAGACTTGAAGTTACATATCACATATTATAATAATATATATTTAAAAATTTAAGTGGGATCAATTGACACTATGGTGATAAGGGAAAGCTGATTGGAAAAAAAAGAAGAAGTGAATAATAGTAACGGACGAAAAATGCCAACAATCGATCGTATGTTATTTGATTTTCCAACAAAATCAGAGCTTGTCTTTTACTTGTTTTAATGTTCAAATAATTAATGTAGTTCAGGGCAGCCTGGAAACCTCTTAATTATTGGGGCTGCTCATGTATATATATATGGACATGGTAGAACTCAAAAGAGTAAAATAAGAATTCATTCAAAGAAGAATAGATACAAATTCGTATAAATATTAATCATTATCCTAAATAATTAAATATCATTTTTATAAATAAAATTCATCACTTATCATATTTTTATATAATATATAAAATTTTTATAGATGAATTTCATTAGTTATTAGTTTTTTAGATAATAACTATTTTATATTAACTAATAAAGAACAACATTAAGTTTATTTAGGGCTTTAAGAAGTGCAAGGTGTAACCTATATATACACACACAAATACATAGATACACACACACACACACACGATTGTTTAAATTAAATTAGTGATTTGAATTAAAAATCAGAATAGGCTAAAAGAGACAAAAGAGCATCAAGTAAATTTCTTAGGTTTGTCAGGGAAGGCCATGTGATGAATACAAAGCAAAATGGGATGAAACAGACATGAAACTACTTCTGCCACAACTCTCATTTTTGGCAACTTCCCATGTCCCCTTTCCAATTTATACTTGTGGTTTCTGCACCTACTAACCATTCCTTTTTCTTTCATGACCCCATGTATATATATATATATATATATATATATATATTATATGATATGTATAAAGCTAGAGATGTAAATAATACGAAATGTATGTATTGAAGTTAGTATGCAACCCATTTTAAGGAAGAAAGTTGGGTCGAATTAACAAAAGGGTGCTGACAATTACACTGCATCATCCAATTTGAATTATATATATATATATATATGCACACACACACATATATACGTATATATAATGATGGTGATTTGCAAAACCCACCAACTATGGGGGACCAAACCATCTGATCCTCTTGAGACCTTACCTAACTTTTATTCTCTAATTACCACCTAATCGTTTTACTACTCCAAGTACAAATTGACTTTGTTACTTATGTTTAAACCACTTAATTACTTAGTTTAATTAAAAATGCACCTTAAATTAGCATGTGTTTAAGTAAATATCTTTTTCTTTTGTTTTTTTTTTTTTCCATCTCCTTTTGAAAAAAATGAGTGAATATTCTTCCCATGCTTCATTTGTTCAAGTTGTTTGGATTGCAGATTTATATTTTTAGTTAAGTAAACACCTTTGGCGTGACATTTGTAATTTACCCCTTCATTTAAGTATTCGAAATCTCATATATTTCATTCATGATCAAACATGACTCTACCAAAGAAAAGTTAGCTTTAGGATGGAAACACATTGAATTAGGAATTGATTTTAAAACTCGAACTTGACCTACATAAGATGTAGAAGACTTGAAAACTATGATATAAGATGTAGCAGACTTGAAAACTCACATGAACCTAGGATAGGTACTTTTGTTGTTTGATTGTACCATTTTAATCAAATAGTCAATCCTACTTAACCCTACTCATCAACTCTTATTGAGGCAAATTTTCTTTTCGCTCCTAGAAAAATTAAGACTTTTATTTTTATAGCCATGTGCTTTTAGTTTTTGTCGTCAAACAATCCATGTTTATTTTTTTTTAGCATTTATTTTTTAACAATCTCAATAAAATTATAAAAGTTAAAGCGACATCCTCTTAATCTCAATAGTATAAATATATTTAAACATTTTAATAGACCATAAATTAAGGAAAGTTGTTTTTTAGCATATCATCCATATATATGATTTATAAAAACAAAAGAGAACATACCCTATGAGAAAGAAAATAATTTCTTTACAGTGAAAAGACAAGTTGAGAATTGAAACGGTTGAAGAAAAAATGCGGTATGAGAATAATTTTAAGCATGAAGCCTATAATCTCTAGATTGTCAACCCCATTGATAAAATGGTGTTCGCCTAAGGAAATATGGGGTGTAATAAGAATTACTATTTTTGAATCAAGCATAAGAATTTTTAAAACATCATCATCTTTGTGAATGATTAGATCAATTATCTTATTGACCTTTAAACCTTTTTTAAGGGTGTGGAAAACTTCATTTCTTAGCAATTCCTATTCGCTTTCGTCTTATTAGAGAAAAGTAGAGAAGCTTTTGCATTAAAATATACCATTCTTTTCTCCATCCAAGCCTGTACAATGAGAGATAACATTTTTAAATCCTTTTCGATTGGTTCCTTTATTTGGGGATATATAGCTTGCGTTTTCCTGTACGTGTGGTGGTCAATCATGTTGATTACTAAGATTTATTTTTTTATTAGAGAAAAATAGATGATTTCTGTTCCTCAGCCCTACACTCTTGTTCAATATTCTCTTTTAAACATGTTTATTTAAACCTATGTTATTCTTGCCAACAATCTTTAGCATTAAACACTGTTCCAATTTTTTTTTTTCATTGCTTTATTGGCTTCATTGTCTTTACCATACCTAACAAAACCAAAGGTATTACTTTTCTTTGACTAATTTTTCCTTGACATATACATATTCACCATTAAACTATAGTTTTAAAAAAAGCTTGTGACATTTTCTATATTAGTTTTTCGATAAATATTGTCCATAAATATAGTAATCTACTTTAGTTACTAGTTTCCTTACCATTATTCTCCTTTTATCACTTTTATATTGCTAGTTGTTAATCAACAGATATATTTTCTGATACATTAATAACTATCTAAACTCTCAATCTCACTCTACTTAATTTGCTCCTCCCATTCTTCTCTTCATGATTTTTTTATCTTTCACATAGTTTTGCTCCATCTATCTCTTCTTTTTTAATTTATTTTTTAAGCACAATCTACTAAGAGCACGACATATTACCCATAATATTAATATTCTCATAAGATTGGTTCTATGAGTTTTAGTACTTGAAGGGAAGAATTGATGTGTCTATAGATTAATTCTAAGTTTGATGTTTAATTTTATTACATGATCATTACATCAAAACTTGTATTGTGATAGTTAATAGGATAAAGATCTTTCCATTAAAGCATCATGGTAGAACTATTTGTTGTGTGGATTACTGGTTTAAAATAATGATTAAAGACAACGAAAATTGAGTTACCTTTAATCATTAAATGTTGCCACAAGTGACTCAATTTAATATTTTATTAATTAGAAACTAAACAAATATTTCATTGATTGCATATTATAATTCAGAATGAGGGATTTTTAACTATTGATAAAGTAATCAATTTAGAGAAAAAGAATGATCCCTTTGTCTTGGTGATGAAAGAGGGGGTAATGGGGGGAGGTCTATGGCCATGGGTTTTGATGTAATGTATAGATTGCAACTATGCAACTAAGGTGGTCTGTCTTATGCGATTTATTTTTTAAAGATTGATGAGATTGATGATATTCTGATTGATTTTATATATTTATTTGTAAATATAAATAACGTTCTTTAAAATTTAGAGATTCAATTTTTATGATAAACGCTTGTCAAAAGATAGTTAAGCAAAAACTTGTAAGATATACTAATTGTG